TGACATCTCTACAAGAGAAAACTCTTCGACCTAATCATCAGTTACTACTTTAACAACAATAATTAGATGAGTGTTCTCATCTAGGTCAATACTCTATTATTTAATCTTCACACCAACTATATTCTTAGCAGCTTGACCATCGCCATTAGGGCTCCTTGCCTCCAAATTATCCTTTCCTATCACCTTGAATTGCTTTGGCAAGACGACAAGTCCATAAGGAGTGTTAACAATGTCAAGTTGGCGAGACATCTTGCTCCTATTTTTCGCAGCTTTTCTCTTTTGCCTCTCCTCACTAGTTTCATATTTGTAGTGAGCTAATAAAACATGAGTCGCAAAAAGTTGTGATGTATTGCACACTTCCATACACTTGAGGCATGTGTATGGACCGTATTTGTTGCAAGGGAGGCTGTGAGTCATTCCATCATAACTCTCATCATCATCACTTTCATATCGATGATGATCTTCATCTGGGTTGTTCGAAGCTCTCGTTCGTCATGAACCATTTCTGATAACAAATTCATCTCGATTGTCCGATTTGTCCATCATTCTGGTGCGATTAAGGGTTTCAATGATAGAGTTTACGCTCTCACGTGATAAAGCTAGCAAGCTTTTTGATGGTTGAATATTAAGAAAGTTATTGTTGTTACCAAATGCATCATTGCTCAATGGTTAAGCACATGAAAGATTATTTTTCATCCCGAAAATATCGCTATAATTCAGAAAATTAAGGGGGGATGAATTTAGTGAGAAATAAGAATAATAATAAGTAATAGAAAAATCATTAATGTTTCTAACAAACGTCATTGGGTTTGGCATGGTAATACCAGTAAATTGGTTTCTGAAATTAGAGTAAGCTCCTAGGGATTGTCAGAGTTCGATCATATCATTGAAAGGAGATGATATAAAAAGCTGCAATCTAGCAGGATATGAAGTAAGAAAACTTTTTTGCAGAACCTTAGTTACAAAGATCTCAGCCAAACCTAGTTGGCTTTGGAGAGGGCCAGAGTCAATGTGATTTCGAACTTGCACCCTTTTTGAGTAAGAACCAAGGACTATCCCCATATCCTGACCCATCATTGGGAAGCTTATCCCAGTTTGGTCAACACCCCGATTGTTTCTTGGGAAAAGAATGGGATTTTGGGAAAACTCAATTGAGGCATTGGTGAAACTGAACTGAGAACCCCCCAAGTTATTCTCCTGATTAACATGGTAATCAGTGTTGGATCTCACAAGGTTACCCTGGCTGCCTAAGTTGAAGAATCGATTCATGTTGTTGTCAACATCATTACCATGATAACTAGGATTAAACCGGAATGGGTTAGAGTTAAGAAGAAAGGAAGAATTGAAGTTCATTGCCATGGAAATGATTAAGAGGCTTGCAAAGAGCACATGAGAACAATAAAACGAAATGAGCAGAGAATGGGCTATGAAGGAAGATGATTGGAGTTTATATCACATATTTATAATATTTTTTATTGAGGTCGGTGGAATGAAACTATCTCTATTAGATATCTTTTTCTACTCATGAATTTAAAAAACTGTTAGAAAAAATCATTACAAAATTGACTAATGCAAATAATTATTTTTCCATTTTGGCATATTTGACCATCATTCAAAGAAGACAGAGAATCTACTAGTTTTAATATATATATATATGGAAAAATGAGATATAAAAGTAAATACAACATTTAATAGTAACATTTCAGCTAGACTCTAATGCTCCAGGCCCTACTGATGGGATATGGATGTACCAAAATCATGTTTAGCAAGTGGGGCCCACAAACACAATGTAATTACTAAATTTAAAATTAAATTAGCATCCATCTCTCCTCCTTTCTTATGGACCAAGAAGGTGCAGAAAAGGTTCTTAGGGTTGACGAATGGACTCAAAAGGATGTCATCAAGTGGAATTGAGTCCATCTTCTAACCATCTTCATACATAACTCTCCTTTCTTGCAATAGAGAATGAGGTAGCATTTGAAAGAAGGTTGTAAGGGATAACAAAAGTTTCTAATTTAACGTTCCCCCTTACTTGATGATTTCTTCTTAATAAGTGAGTGAATATTCTCTCATTTTACCATTCACCCTTGATGATTTCTTCTTAATAAGTGAGTGAATATTCTCTCATTTTACTATTCACCCTTTAAAATGACTTAAGTGTTTCTGCATCTATCGTATATTTCTCTCTTTGTCTAATGCATATTTCTAAGAAAAGAAAGATATTTTAACTTCTAAATTTTCTGCTAATTTTGTTCCCATTCCTTTCTACTTTATTTTTGTT